CACAAACCTCTATTGACAAAGTGCACAGATCCTCAGGGAACATGTGGACAGAAAACCTACAAACCACTGAGTCTGAATACAAGGATTTTACACCAAACCACAGCACAATACCTGACATTTATCATCATTGATATATTAACAAGTCCAACGGATATCACTGTGTCAATGGCCTTTTGAAACATAAGAGATTTTATCCGGGAAACGACAACTCAACTATAAATCACACTGAGGGCTGACAAAATGTAAATGCACTGTAGCAAAATTTTAAAAAGCATTTTATGGTAAATCGGATTACTGTGGGGTCTAATTGAACTGTGGTCCAGATAGTCAAAGTCTGAATCAAAGTTTTGATTGATTGATTGATTCGTTTTTATTTCGAGTTTGAGCCATGAGAGAAACAATAATCATATATACTACATACACATTGTAAACAACAGAAAAGCACATTTCTCGAAAAGGAGTGGGAAGAAGAAAAACTTATAGGAACCCACCTCTATTCATGACATAGTTTCAGAAATTTTGTGGTTGTTTCTGTACATTGATCACGGAACTTTACAAATATTTAAACATAGCAAAATAAATTACATATTATGCATACAAAATATAATTTTGTATGCATTTTGTACTGTACACATATATATATACACATATACATGCGTACACATACCATGCATATATACATATATACATATATATATATACATATATACATACACATATATATACATGTATGTATATATATATATATGTATATGTGTGTGTGTGTGTGTGTGTGTGTATATATATATATATATATATATATATATATATATATATATATATATATACACACATACACACACATACTGTATACTTTTTTTTTTTTTTTTTTACATCAATCAGTGCTGTCACTCACCCTTATATCCCGAAAGCGATAATTCCTTTTAAAGCTGTGAATATTTGGGCACTGCTTCAGGTTGTCTCCCAACCCATTCCACAGACTGACCCCACACACAGATAAACACATGCTTTTCCTGGTGCTTCTCGCTGATTTTGTTTTAAACTTATCCCTTCCCCTTAATTCATAATGTGCTTCTTGTGTACTGAACAGTTTTTGGAGATTTAACGGCAGCATAGTTTTGTTTGCTTTATACAAAAGCAAAGCAGTGTAGAATTTCACTAAATAAAAAAAAATTAATAATTTTGATTTGAAAAACAAATTGTTTGTATGATCCATATAACCAACCTTATGCACTATTCTCACAGCACGTTTTTGCAATTTGAAAAGGGGAAGAAGTAATGTTTGGTAGTTATTGCCCCAAATTTCAATACAATATGTCAGGTATGGAAGTATGAGAGAGCAATACAATATGTAAAGAGCCTTTTGATTAAGAATGTGTTTCCCTTTGATTGATTACTGCAATACTTTTTGAGACCTTAGATTGTATGTATCTGATGTATGGTTTCGAGCTTAGCTTTTCATCTATCGTTATACCTAAAAATTTATTTTCAGCAACCCACTCAATTTTAACCCCATCAACCTGGATTGAAAGTTCTGAATTTCTTTTATAATTACCAAAAAATATAGCTTTTGTTTTCTTTAAATTTAAGGATAACTTACTGGAATCCATCCATAATTTTAGTTAATTAAGTATTCATCATTGTAATAAGTTGTTTATAATTGTCACTGGCAAGAAATATATTGGTGTCATCTGCAAATAAAATTATTTTTAATGTGTCAGATGTTTTAAATATGTCATTTATGTACAAATTAAATAATTTAGGTCCCAAAATTGAGCCTTGTGGCACTCCACAAGCAGTAGTCCTAAATCCGGAAGTATATCCATTTATTTCCACAAACTGTTGTCTTCCTGTCAGATAGCTTTCAATCCAGTTTAGAGCAATGCCCCTTATGCCATACAGTTTAAAGGTTGTATGGAGGATTTTTTTTGTTTCAAATTGTCAATGATAGCATTATAATATAAATGATAAATGTTTTGTCTTGTATTGTGGTGCTTATTTCTGTAATTTTTTCTGCTAGTTCAGGACCTATTTTTACAAAGAAATCATTAAAGTTGTTAACAATGCTGGGCATGTCATCTATCACATCATTCTCATCGACAAAATAATCAGGGTATGAGTGCTTTTTAGAGCCTTCTTTAATTATGCTATTCAATATACCCCAATTTTTTTTTACATTATTTTTATTATTTTCAAGCAATTTATTATAATATAATTTTCTACTGTTCCTTATAATATCTGTCAACTTATTCTTATATAATTTGTACCTTCTTTCTGAATCCTTCGTTTTCAATTTTATGAATTGTCTATAAAGATATTTTTTTCTTTTTACAAGCATTCTGTAACCCCTTTGTTAACCAAGGACAATTAAATTTTCTTTTTTTGGTTTTACATTGTTGAACAGGACAGTGTTTATTGTATAGTGTCAGAAATATGTCTAAAAAATTATTGTAGGCTCTATCAACGTTGTTCTCCAAGTATACTGAACTCCAGTCCTGATCATTAAGGTCTTCATTCAGTGATCTAACAGTTGGATCATTGGATCGCATTCTTTATATACATAATTATCAACATTACAATTCTTTTGAACTCTTTCACCACAACATAGGAATACTGGTAAGTGATATGTTATATCGCATATCATTAAACCACTAATATTATTGTCCACATTGTTAGTAAAAATATTATCAATAAGGGTAGCACTGTGATTTGTAATTCGGCTGGGTCTTGTAATAGTTGGGTATAAGCTCAGGCTATACATTCTATTAAGAAAATCGTCTGTCATTTTATGTTTAGCAGGATTTAATAGATCAATATTGTAATCTCCACATATGTAAATTGTTTTGTTATTGCTCATTGAGAAAAATTTTTCTATCCAGTCATTAAATACTTCAACATTTGTTCCAGGAGATCGAGTTCGAGTCAAAGTCCAGGTTAAAGTAATTTAGTGTAATTGGGTTGAGTCTGGTTTGGCTTAGTCTAGGAGATATACTAGTAAAATCAGTTTAATTCTTCATTAGAACTAGAAAAGGTTAGTCCCAATTTAGTACATTTAAGCTCTTTAGGATTCTCTCAAGGTTATATTTTCTTCCCTAGAATGGTGATGGACTGATTTCTCTATTGGTGATGACATAGCTTTATATTCCAAATCCCAAAAGCATGCCTACCCCAAATATAAACTCAGATTTTCCATTTATTTTGGGACTTGGGAAGCTGTGGTTTTATTATAGCCTTGTGTGAACACGTCTTACCTCCAGCAGAATGGGTAACTGTGTTTGAACGTGCTGGCATTGACGAGACGCCCGTGCTCCTTCAGCCACTTGATGATATTTTTGTCAGCATCCTACACACACAACAAAAGACAGGCATGTTTTTTAAGAAATACTTCCAGAGGACTTGTTAAAAATACACAAATACACATCTCCTACTTAATTACAAAATTAGCCAGGTCACATTAGTGTGGTAGTAAGTAGACACTTTACAAAGTCATGATTTAATTTCAGTTATGAAAACTGTGAAACACTGATTGAACAACTTAAACATTTTCCTTTCTTCTGCTAAATGTGTTTTTTAAGTCTGTATTTTTTTAAATGAGTATTATATTTTATATATAGCTTACAGTCATGTATCAGTTATATAGAATATTTCAAGTGGAGGGTTTGCCACCAGCTTGATTCCATAGATATAAACTTCTCTCCATGGAATGTTCCACTGTAGCATTAAATTGAATAATCTCTTTGACAGTGACACCTCAAGGCCAAGTCACAGGTCAGACTAGAGGTCAAGCGAGCAGGTGCACAGTAAGAATGCATGTTTATCCAGGTAATTTTTAGAAATTAAATGTAATTTTTAAAAAAATTGATGTGTTTTAAATCACACTGTGAAAAATTCTAAGCAAAGCATTACATTGGGTCCTCCATCAAAAAGGTTACATAGGGTATCTTTAATACTTCATTTTTTTGTGTAATCATGATTCACAGCAAATTCAATTATTCAGGCAAAAACACAGATTTTAAGTTTCTAGAAAAAATGTTTGCCTTAGGCAAAAGAACAAAACAGCCCAGGGACACAGAGTCTTTAGGTTTATTCAGCTTTCCTCACATGATAAACTGTTAGCAGTGATATCAGTTCACCTGGCAGCTCTCCTTGCATGATTTTGGTGTTATCTGAGTCAATTACTTCACATCTTAAGAGGAAATTTAATCATCCGTTCAACAATAAGATATACTACATTTGCTGACAGCCACTATTCCACTAGCGACTATAGTATACCTATTCTATACATTGTGAAAGGAATGATAATGCATTTTCTTATTTGTTTACTTTATTCATTCACACAGAATGCAAAAAACAAATAACTACACCACACGTTCATTCGATAAATCTTACCCGATAATTGTGCGGCACATGCATTTTTGGCCCACTATCTAACAGCTAATCAGCCTTGTGCATGTTATCACACATTGTTTCATCTTCCTCCAACCAAGCCTGAAAAGCTATTTAACAAAAGACTCATAAATATTAATTCTCGACATGGTGGTGCTAGGCAAACTGCAGTGACCTTTTAGTTTTTCCGCCCATGCTGGATTTTGTCATGCCTGACCCGCGCTCATTAAAACATCAGAGTGCACTTGTAATGCAGAGATATAGAGCAACTTCACTTCACAACCTGGTCCATCAAAACAAAATGGGGTGGTACAAAGTTAATGAAATAGAGGCTCTTGAGAGATTAAAAAAACATATATACAAAATGTTAAACAAATTGTGTTTTTTTTTAAATTGGGTAGAAAAAATCTAGGACATCATGGGGAGGCTGAATGCATTTGAAATTTCTGTTACTTGAAGCCTGCATACGGCTTAAATTAAATGAAAATTATTTATTAAAACATGTACATCCTATGTTGGGCATCGTTCAGGCTAAGATGAACTAAAACTTCTTTCAGTACTTCTTGTATTACCCTTTAATGACATCACAACATATAACAAAGCATTCTGGGCAGGGAGATGTCACAATAGGCATAAAATATGAAACATAAAACATGCTAATTGGAATTTTACTGGCACTAACTGTTCTACACCAAATAAATGGGGAATGAATAGTTGTTATTTGGAAATAACTTTTTCTAATATGGTTCACTGCAATCCAAGGAAAAAATAAATAAAATCTCTAAAATAAGTTCTAAAAATCTCATTTTATTTTAATAAAAATTCAGTACAAAATCTTCCTTCAGTGTCTGATAAAGACAAAGCACTAAGTCACTAAGCATTTATATTCTAGCAGCATACGCCATTTTTATTTAAATGTTTCTAATCCAATCACCCTCTTTGCACAGTCTAGATCCACGACATTTTGCTATGTGACATAAATTGATTTTAACAACTTAAGTTCACTTCATGTGCAACCACAATGTAAAAATATATTGTGATTGTGAATTAAGAATTGTAATGCAACAGAAAAACAAGATGGAAATAAAAGCATTCACTACACTCTTTATTAGGTAAAGATGCATACGTGTTTATTGGAAACCAAGTTGACTTTGAGCTAGTATTGAAAGTACAGAAAAAATACTTTCTATTAGAATCACAGATATTGACAGGACAGACATGTGTTATTCAAAAATACAGAAGAATGCAGAAAAGTCCAGATTTCAAAAAAGGTACTAATTATAAGGCAAGATTGTCTAAACAGGTCAGGAAAAGCTTCTACATTGGTCAGGCATAACATTAAGACGACCTGCCCATTCTAAGTGATCAAAGGCATTTATTGCTGTTACTTTGATGGACCACTTTTGATAGATACAGACCAGACTAGAGCAGGAACCCCCAATGACAAGAGCAATTTCATCTATGCTCTCATGCAGTTGTCCAATCATCACAATTTGGCTTCTAACAATCCATGTATCTTGCATCTAACACATCAACTTTGAGGACAATATGTTCTCTGGACAAACATTTACAAGGTAGTGATATAGTGAAGGTAGTCTTAATGTTACATCTAATCTGTGTACAGTTATGTCTGCTATATTATCTAAAAGGCACTAACAACTTCATCCTGATCTGTGTTTCTTCCTTAGGCATCTTTGGTGATCCCAAGTCTTGTCTCCTCCCCTTCCAGAAGCTTCCTGTAGGTGGCGATTTCTGCATCGAGCTTCAGTTTTATGTGCAGTAGTTCCTGGTAGTCTTGGAGGTACTTGGTCATCTCCAGCTTGGTCTCACAAAGCTGAGCCTCTAATTGGGCAATGATGCTCTCAAGCCCGCCCACTTTATCCAGATGTGAGATTTCCATGTCTTCCAGTTGTTGTTCTAGGGCGGCGTTTCTAGCCCTCAACCCATCAATTTGGTTCTGCAGGTCTGTCACTTGGTTTTGGAAAACACTAATCTCTTCTTTCATTGATTTCATTTGGTCTTCATGCTTGCCGGCGTGCTCTTTTAGAGTGTCGAATTTGCTTTTGTACCACTTTTCAGCCTCTTGGACGTTTCTTGCAGCGACAGATTCAATTTCAGCCCTCATGTTACGCAGATAGGCTGCCAAATCAGGTCTATCGCTATCCAAATCGGCAGTAATCTTTGAATCCTCAATTTGTTTCATCAAATCAGCAACTTCCTCATCATGCAACTTCTTCAGGAACTCAATTTCGGCCACCAATTGCTCTATGCGCTTCTCCAGTTCAGCCTTTTGCAGAGTAGCATTATCAACATCTTGGCGAAACTCTCTTAGAATCATTTCAGCCTCTTCTTTAAGTGTAAGCTCCTCATCTAGTTTCAAACGCCAAACTTCAACTTCTTCCTCAAGATAACCTCTTTCGATATCAGCCGCTCCTTTCTCGTTGGTTAAAGTTTCAATCAGATCACGCACCTCTTTGAATTTCAACTCGTACTCTTCGCCGATGCTAGTGGGGCCTCCCTTGTAGCGGCTTTGGAGGGTAGCTAGCTCAGCCTGAAGAGCAGCGTTCCTCTGCTCCAGTGCTTGCACTTTCTCAATGTATCCGGCAAACTTCACATTGAGTTCTTGCATCTCCTCCTTTTCGTTAGCATGGTGTTGGTGAATTTCTGTACCCAGTTCAACCGCGGTACCTCGAAAACCAGAGCGTCCACGACCATCGTAAGAAGATCCACGGCATCTTGAAGGCGAGGGACTTTGAACACGAACCCTACTGCCCGAGCTGCTAACTTGCAAGCTCTTTTGAGTGTAGGACGCAGCTCTCATTTTAGCAACAGCAGCAAGTAACCACCTTTTTCTGTTCTGATGTTTTTCGTTCACCACGCAGGATGATACTGGTGCACGCTTCAATCTACCCAGACTTATATTGCCTGGTAAAGAATCTCTCAGAAAGCCTTGAAACTAGCGCTTGGCCCAAACATATTTCAAAAGTAGATTGTGACAGACACTTCATGGACAGTGGCTGTTTATTAGATAGCGCTGTACCGTGAGTGGCCGGGCAGCTCGAGTACACTCCTTGGTCTTAGCACTGTGGTGTGAAATAGTGATCAGATCATGTATGAATGCTACACTGCAGTTCTCACTCTTGATGCATGTAGAAGTGGGATGAGGTTGGGTGGGACAACAGTCAACAATACCACAACACTGATATTATACAAATTACACAAATGTAATTTTCAACTGCCAAGTGAAAGAGATCATTTGGAAAAAATCCACAAGAAAGGTGCAGTATGTACTAAATACTAGTCTCCATGGAAATATTATTTTACCTGAAATGTTCTACAGTATGGCTTTAAATGTATCTTTTGCCATGCCAAGCAGGTGGCGCCACCAGGGTATGTTACAGGTCAAATATGCAGTGAGTTGATGCATGATTTTCCAAGATATTTTTAGCAATAAAAACACCTGTAATTAAATAAATGTAAATTAGATGCCATTCTGTGAAACTTTCCAGGCAAAGCAATAACCTCTCCATGATTGCAGATCCCCGCTAGAAAAGTTACATAGTGCAACTTCATGCATTTCCACAGTTAAAGCTACAAAGTAACAAATGACCAAAACAACCTTTTGACTTCAGTTTCCCAGTAACACATAGTTTGGACCCCGTGTAAGGCCCCATTTGCTCTTATTCAGGTTGGGATTTCAGATTTTTTTGCTAAACATTGGTGTTAGTGTTTGGAGTGTCACTCACTTTGACATATTGTCCAGCAAAGTCGGTGACCTCCGGAGTGAAGCAGCCCGAGGCGTCGACAGGGCAGATCGGAGTCTGGTCCTTCTGGATGATGTTGTAGTCCGCACAAACACGGAAATCGTCCTGTGGGAGAGATGCAGAAACTGTAATTTAAACATACTTCAACTTACTCTTAGGTTTTCTAATGTCAAAATTATTCAAAAGACCTGTAAAAACATACAAAGAGATCTTAACCATTTCATGTTTAGTGCCACTTTGGAATAATGTAGTCATTTTTTACAATATTCAAATCATCGCTACATTTCCAAGTAGAAATTAGATAACAATTAACAGAAATTATAAGTGATGTTCTTGGTGTCCCATCCTGGTGTCCTATAAGCCTTTGAGTGTGTAGAAAAAGCAAGTTGTGTCTGGAAGGACATCTGGTGTAAAAAATCCTGGCAAAAGTGCATAACACTATAGAAGGTAAACTAATTATTGAGGTGTCTGTAAAAAGGAAAGCAATATTATTACTACTGCTCAGGTAAACAACGAATCCTAGGTTAGTAAAAAATAAGTTGTTCGAAGAATTATTTAGACTTTAATGAATCAAAATGTACTTACTTCTTGTACTTACTTGTATGTTCATGGAATTAATATTAAACACCATATTTGACTGCTTTTTATTTTTTAAAGCGATATTTTTAAAAAGCATTAAATTGAAGAGAATATTGCGGCCAATCAATACAAGGAAATAATGACAGATCTTTTTCCATACTGCTGAGCCCTTGGTAGTTGGAACACTAGCATGTAATCAAAGAGTATCCCTGTATGATTTAAACCCTATGGCACTTGTTACTCATTTGAATGCCTGTTTGGTGGCGTTGTCCGTAGCTCCAGTGGCATGTGGCAGTGGCTCATGAAAATCCCTGCCGTGTAAATGTATTCTGTCGTGTCAGACCGAAGACGGATGGGCATCAGGGTCACTTCACAGATCGTCATGACAACATTAAATCTGTGAGGCTCAGGTCAGGGCCTCTCCGCTCGCTGTAGATCTTCTCCAAATGTGTTTGTCCAACAGATTGTAACTGGTTAGCGCTGTCTGAGGCAAGATTGATGTAGCGTTCCCATAACATTAGAAGTCCATGTTGGGGGCATATAAGCTATTTATTTTGAAAAGTGACCTTAAACAGTATTTTTGGCATCATATTTCAAAAATGTTTCATGTTTATTTTCATGTTTTCGATCTTAAAACAGGTCAAGCACCTCTCCCTTAACAATTGTACATATACTGCAATCCTAATGATAATGTTTAAAATTAAAAATTTAAAAATTTTATAAAATCATAAAATGTTAACTACCTGATAGCCAAGATGTCTCAAAAAACTGCATACTGTTGAATTCTTGACATCTTCTTTAGTGACAGATTGTATTGCTTTTCAACAAGTAATCTGTTTTACTCAATACCAATACTTACTGTTGGGCTGGGTGATGTGGCAAAAAAAAAGAATCACATTATAGACTTAATTTTAAAGATTACATAGTAAATGCATTATATTTATATTCCCTGCTTATTTTGCAGCAATTTAATGCTTTTTACTATAGTCAGTATACTTAATATACAAATTTTGTGTATCTCCAGAACAACAATTGCAATATTATAAATGTTTGGATATATTAAGTTCTACTAATGACATTTCTGGTTGAAGAGGGGGTGTGACATCAGCAAGCAAACACTCTCAAAAGCATGTATCTGATTCTACCAAATACTTAATTACATTTATTTGTAAAAGGCAGGGGAGATTCACAATTCATTCCCAATTCCAACTTATGCAAGCCTTCTCCTTTCTGCTTGGGTTCTTATGCCAGTAAAATTCTGGTCAACTAAAATTAATTGACTAAAAGCTTTATATCCCTACAACCCATCTCCCACCTCTTGTTGCTTTACACAGTGTCTGCACCTCGCTTCAGCCTCAGAGCAACACGTGCCCTTGAGAGGACATCAGAGCTATTACCAATGACCCACTCGTTCTTAGAGTCCACATTTATCACTGGAGTACATTAACATTTTTATAGTTGGAATTGCATTATCCAGTCCAGGGCAGTTTGAATGTACTGTAAAACTTGTTGACTGGCGCAGCATCAGTGGACCTTATCAAAACGTTAGAGGTTCAGATTCACTTGTAAAACCAAATGTAAAATACCCTTTTTGACAATGTTTCTGTGTCTAAGCGATATGGGTTTTTTCATGAACAATGTAGTTTTTTAATCCAGAGCAACTGACTGCAAATAAGCTCTGCTGAAATGTGACCTAATTTTGACCATTTGCGCATAAATGTATTAACTGAAATAATAAAACTGTTCTAACTGCTTCATATAAAAAAACGTAGAATAAAATTAAATGGTAAATGGTAATGGTCACATTTTTCTATAGCGCTTTTCCACCTTCAAGGCACTCAAAGCGCTTTACAACAAGGAACCACTCACCCATTCACACACACATTCACACACCAGTGTACACAGTCACTGTGGGCAAGGTGGGTTAAGTGTCTTGCCCAAGGACACAACGACAGCATTCATCTGTGGGAGCTGGAATCACACCAGCCAACCTGTGGGTCAGTGGATCTAACCGCTCAACCTGTGATGTTTATGTCGAGAGCTGGAATTGAACCGCCAACCTTCAGATCAGTGGGCAAATGCTCTACCAACTGAGCTACTGCCGCCCCAATTAAATTAAATGAAATTACATAAGAAAGACACTACATTACAGATTGTATTGCTTAAACGATCCTATATATATTTAGACAAACAAAATACAACTTCAGATATGTTTTTGATAAAAAACACCATGGCTAAAAGCTAATATAAGCATAATTAATAGGACTCTAAAATGAGGATCAATAGAAAAGAAATTGTCACATACAGCTCCAAAGTACGGCGCCTGGTGGACCACTCCTGTACCCTCTTCTTCCTTGACATAATTATCCAGCACAACTTGGAACGCTCCCTTCTCGGCACACTGAGAGAAAAATCAAAAAGAAAACCGTGGAATTAGAAAGATTAAATGAACATATGCATATAATACCAAGCAAATCTATACAGAGTGGTTTAGCAAAGACATCATGATCATAGTATTTCAAGAACAAGAACAGCCAACAGACCTTGGCAAAATATGGGAACAGGGGCTTGTATTTCTTTCCTTTCAAAACTTTACCAGGAAATCTACAAAAGAAAAGCGATGAGAAAACAGGAATTAGGCCAAGTAAGAATGACATGAATGCACTGCTGAAGAAAATGGTAAATAGCAAGAAATACACATCTTACAAGAAACTGAAACCAGAGGAATAGAGGTGGGCGATAAATAGAACAGAATTGCTTTCAGCGTCTGTTTATAGTTTATTCAATTGTGTGTTTATAATTGAACACATTTTATTTAAATTACGACTTTGCAATTAATTCAAATTTTAATTGAGATTCACTCACTTCTAATTGCCAATAGGCTGAAGTACGTCCATAAGTGTTGCCATGTTTTTGTTGGTTAGTTTGGGCGCTTCAGCTTTGGCTTCCACCCAAACCACAATGCTGCTCTGTGATTGGACCGAGCCTTCGGTTGCCCAGCCCGATCGCAACAGTTGGCATTGAGCCAGATGGATTCCCGTGAGTTTGTGAACTCACAAATATCTTTAGACTTCATCTTGCTGGCCAGTTTATGTGTTCTTGTTAAGACAATAAAATCGACTGTTGCCGCTGATTTTGACTGCAACTGCTTTTATTCAGAAGCACCCCATAAATAAATATTAGAGTGTAAATGCAAATGATTAAGGCTTTAACACAAAACTAAACTATAAGGTAAATTAATTAAAATGGCCAAACTTCTGAAAGTATGTTTATAAAGTGTTTTACAGCCACTTAATTGTTTTAAAGAAGATTAAATAAAGGGGAATGTAAATATAACAGTAAGATAAATTACAATTCTAACTCTATTTAATGTATAGGTCTATAATTTTATCCTACACAGTATATGAGTATGCACAATAAATCTAGGGGAAAACACTGAATCTTTATTAATATTTTGGTATCGTTCGTTCCTAATTTATAATGCAATGCACAGTACAACTTTAAGGACACATACAAACGTTCAAAACCATTTTGAACCCTAATTAGAGGCAGCACTTGGTTGGCAACAGTTCGCTATTAATCACATAAATACACCTGCGTCTTAGTAAATAGGGATTTTGTCCTTGCACTAGAAAAGATTTGTACCGATTAAAACATTTTTCAAGCCTAACATTTAATACCAGTCAATTCCTCCACCAATGCAAGGATGAATGGTCAGAAATCAGGCCAGGGAGTATTTTCAGAGCTTAAAACTATACATGGTTGACACTATGGCTGCTTTCTAGTTTGTACCATTTATTTTTATTTCATTTCTTTTTCCACTAGGCTTTTGCTCTGGTATTGTCCACTGAGCTGGGAAATTGGCGAGGTGATTTGCCTCTGTTGTGTGTGGTAAAATAAGACTTTGTTAAAAATCCCAATGGTTCCTGACTTCATCCGTCTCCAGCTCTGGAAGACAGACTATAACCCAGGGGGATGTAATAAAATAAAGTGATGGGAAAGCTTGGACAGTTTTTAGGATTGTGCCAACTTTTTAACTGACTATAAATGTTCAGGATTGGGTAGGAGTTACAGTGAACCATGAAGGCAGCATAGCATAGCAAAGCCGCTGGAATTAGTCTGATAGGAAATACCTAAAAGGCTTGATAAGTTCTACTTTGATTGCAACATTATTACAATGTTTGTCAAACTTCTTCGCAGTGAACCACTGAGGAAAATCTTTTGCTTTCCGAGTACCTTGAGATTTAAGCTAGGTCTATAAAGAGACTATACCAGGTCTAACATGGGACTGCATCATATAAAATAAGTGCTGCTAACACAAAGAACATCAAAAAGGTAAATAAAATTGAATCAGAGAGTAAAACTAATCCATCATGCTACACAAACCACACTTT